TTTCGCAAAACTTCGTTAGAAACGTGCTACAACTTGCTGACAACTGCCGTGCTACGTTTCGCTGCTCTTTAGGTATCATTTATTTTTTCTCCGCGGCGAGAGTGATATTTCACGTTTCAATACCGTACAGCGAAATTCGATAGCACACTGAAGTTGAAAAGTTTTACGGTCAGCAACTGCTAGGTAAGAAATTAGGTGCCGAATGAAAGCTTATAAACGCAAACATACTAACTTTCACCTAACATCTAATTCCTTTTCCTAGCATCATGACCCCAAACAGTTCATAAACCCTGTTCCTGGTCTCCGAATCCTACCTCCGCACATGATCTTAGGTCGTTTCCATTCTTTATTCCGGTCCCTCCCTTCTCTTCCGACTCAATGCGAGCATTTTGATTCCCCTCATTGACAGCTATTTCCACCCTTCTTCCCCTTCCTCGTTCTGACTCATTTAAATGAACTTGTAATTTAAATCCATCCATAGGCCGAGGGGTGCACCATGATTCTCCCAAATCTCCTACCAGCTCTAGATACAAATACATTTTCCTCGCCTAGTTGAGCCGAACTGAGTTTCAGTAATTACCTTTTATACCTCTTTCTATCAATTATTGCGAAACATTATAGTGGGAATAGCTCCCAAACCTTGTTTCCCTTCCCAAGTTTTCATTCAGACTTACATTCGAACGTAATTTGTACAAAGACTTTTTCACAAATTTGTGTGGAAACATTGTAGGTGCTGGTATACTAATATTTTCACGAGTTCCTCCCTTTGATATCGGTAATATTCGCTTTTCTTTCTGTCTTTCTTTTCTCGAAATATCTTGCAAGTTGACCACTGAGTTCGCGATTTTTTAATCTGCTTTTCGAGTTTTTCTGTTCGGTTTGCTTTGTTACATCGATAAAAGTGTCCACAGTTAAGTTACAGCGAACAATATTTGCTGCACCTTTACAAGCCAACTTTTTCCCATGAATTTTATGCTCTCAAAGTACTTTTAAACTAGTACAAGTGGACTAACCAGCTTGTTTATACAGCGTAAGTTCACGTTAAAAGCAAACAAAAAAATGGGAATTGCAAAACAAATAGTTTACAGAGCTCAGTGGTTTAAAGCTACACATGTTGATTTTAGCATCCGACTTAGCTCTGTAACTTTCTGAGCGAATTTTGTCTTTGATATCGAAGCTGAAAACAGTCTTGGGGCCGCTTAATTTCTTTGTTCACAACAAGGGTTTTTTTTTTTTGTTGAATGAATGGAGAGTAAGTTTCAGTCCTCATTTTTCATTTAACAAAAGCGATATCTTCGCTGCCTTTTATTGCTTGGGCTTCAGAGACAGCTGGAGGAAGCTCGAATTTTTATTGATGTAGAAATGGGACAGAATGCACGCACTCAATCTGTTTCC